ACCACCGACGTCGCCATGGCTAGTAGAACTGCCACATCAACGTCACACTAACTACAATCCCACTCTGACTTTACTACAGCCATTCAGTTGCTCCACGCGTCGGCCTGATCAGGCATTTACGAACCCATTACACTGAGACTGGCGTGTCGGTTCCAAGAGCCACACCCGTTTTATCTGCCCAAACTGTCGAAGGACATTCAGTCATCGCATGGGCCTATTCGGCCATATGCGCTCCTATACATATCTTCGATAAAACAGCACTCTAGGCCCCATAATCACACCTCGACCTACCTACCCCCACACACCCCTACATCACACATGAACTCCCCTCACATCACGCATCAAATCCCATTACAACTACACATTTCTCCGACAGTAAGTATATGGTACGCTGTTGCCGGTCTGGCCAGCGCAACTTCACACGTCGGAACATGCACTTCTCACGTAAGTGGGAAGCATTTTTTTGATGTATCCGAGTAAATGAAGTGAGCAGGTCGTATGTGTCACGCGTACACCGGTCATCTAGTCCTGGCAGCCACCGTGCCCGATTTAGTCACCAGCTGGGTGACTGGCTCAGACAGTCGACTGGTGAATGGGAGAGGGAAAAAAGTGAGGTCGACACTGGAGAACCCGTCCCAATGGCACACTAGCGCGTTCCCCACTATAATGAATCTGGCGAGCCTGAATTTCTGCGGACACGCTTGAAGTCGTGGCTTGATGAGTTTCCAACCGACAGGATAACTCGTTCCTTACAGTCAGTACTGCGGTAAATGCGCTGGACCAACAGGACGGCCACATAGGATTCTGGCAGGCGTTATCAGGGATGTGCACCCATAGCAAATGCCAACATTAGGAGCAGGCCCAGTTACTGGCTTACGCCACGCCAATTGGGATCTCTGCCACCCCCATTTTTGTTGTTGAAAATCCTGAACAAGGGTTTGTCGTTGGTCACAAAGTGTGGTGGCGCGCTTAGGTGGGGGGGTTTTGCCGTGTCAGCCACCTGCTGCCTCTCCCGTCCCGGTCTTCTTGACCCCGTCTTCACACCAGACTCATGTGGGGAGGAGGAGAGAGGTCGGTAGATGCTGTCCACGTCTGCCGTCATTACAAACTAATTCACATGTTAGTCACCGTCCCCGCTCTCACCCTTCTGTGAGCACACGGTGGACATTTTTGAAAGCGACGCTCCAACTGTCGTGTCCGTAGTGACTGGCTGGAGGAGTGAGAGTCAAGTTGAATTGTCCATTCTCAATATGTCCTCGCTAAAGACGGAATTCGTGTCGCCCCTCCTTGTGGAAACCTGGTATATTGTGCGGAGCCCAGGTCGTACGAGCCGTGCGCAGACGGGTTGCTTAACTTTGTCGCTCACTGTGTCCGAGCCTACTTCCGTAGTTCTGACATCGCCTTGCCGTCGGGTCAAAGCAGGCGGGGATAAGAGGATGTGGTAGATGCTGCGCAAGCTCACTTCATTGCAAACCAATTCATGCTCATTTCCCCGGTGCTGAGTCCACTCTGGGGAATACTCGGTGGACGTAGAGTAGGCGGGCTAACTCACGAAATGTCAGCCGAAATTCCAAAATGCGTTCTCGTTTCGAAAAGATTAATTAATTAGGATTGGAAAACTAGTCAGCCTGCAACATAATTCTATAATAATTCAGTTACCTCAGGGTACCGCCTTTCGAATGAACCTCCTTCCGGCTGTATGCAAAAACCATACTCTGCAAAAATTACTGCCTAGGTAGCATGCATTTTTTCATTGATTTTCGATGCCCTTAAAGATCCAATTATATTTTATGGAAAAAATGCGTAAAAATATGTATTATTTTGCTTATTCGGTAGAAAAGTACGTCGTATTACAAGCTTATACTCGAAGGAAGGGTATACTTCGGTTTTAAAAAAAGTTTCGAATTGTGAGATTATTTAATACTGTGAAATGGCCGTTCATAAAACGTCATGTCTCTGCATTTACCAATGTGGTTTGTAAAGTTAACAATATGGCTCAAGTCCACTGCTAAATTTTTGAAAATCATATGGTCTCCTCTTAATACTGTAGAGAGAGATATGGTTTTACGTACGCGGAAAATATACGGCTTGTAGTTTGGAAACCACGAATACAAGTGTAACGACAGGTCGGGTTCAAAATTATCCGGGAATTGGAAAAGTCTCTGAAAATCGAAAGCCGGCATCCTGACGCAACTGAATTATTATAGAATTATGCTGCTTAATGATTATTTTTACAAACCCTACTTAATTAATCTTTTCGAAACGAGAACGCATTTCGGAATTTCGTTTGACATTTCGTGAGTTAGCCCATCTACTGTATTTGTAGTAGCATTCGTAGAATTGATGGTAGTGACGACAGGTGCGCAGAGAGGTCTCAAATCCTGTGTTAATGTTAACATAAATTTCACCATCTATACAATTAATAGATAGTCAGAAATCGGGCATGTGATCCGTTGGCTTCTAGGTCGACGTGTGGGTGGTAGACAGGCAAGATCTACCGAAGTTTGACGATGGCCTTGCTGACCTCCATCGATATGTCAAGCGAATTTATTGTTACTGGGTCCGAATGAACCTGAAGATTCTCATCCCAAATGAACAGTAAAATCTGCATGACAGGCAAAAATGCTACCGAGAGATGGCCCTGACCAAACAGAAATGAGAGAGCGAATGCAAAAAAGTACTTCGATACTATACGATTAGGCATATTTTTGTAATACCTAGAAAGAATGAGATTTAAAGCACAAACTATGAGCAAAACCATGCAAATAGAAGCAAAGCATCAAACAACGAAGTAAGGGTGGAAACGAAATGCTAACATAACATATAAAACATGAGTGTATAAAGATGATTAGATGGTAATGTACATAATGAGACCGAGAGAGTTCACCCGAAAGAGGAACCACAAGTTATAGGAGGGAGGAAACGTTATTCAGGGAAACTTCAGAAAGAGATTAAGTAGGGCGCCTACTGCGAAGCCCTGCAGCTATGCCACGCAGCGGCACAACGTCGGCGAAACACGCATGTCTGGGCTTTTAGTTAGTACCTGCGACATGAGTGTCACACTATGGAGCGGCACAATTTAAATACACAGTTAATTGTCTCTCAGTAATTAGGAGGAGCATTTTCAAATTAATATCCGGAGGCAACCAGGACTGTACTTTATGGCTTGAAAATCCGGGTTAATTCGTAGTGGGTTGAAGAGAGAGGGGGTCTTAGTGGGCAACCTAAGGTCATCAGGATGTAAAGAAAGGTGCTAGATGATATGTCGACACCTTGACGGACACTACAATTATTTGGGGGAAAAGATGGTCAAATTTTTTGAACCTGAAAAAGTTGAGTCTCGATAGAAAGAAAAAAGGTGAAAGTTAATCTGGTAAGGTTTGGTAAAGCACGCACGGTTGAACAATGCTGAAGTGACAACTGCGAGTCTTCGGTAGCTAAGGTCGATCGATTACGCACTTGATAGTTATAACTATAGGAGGTTAAGTTTCCCTAAGACTGGCGTAAGTGGTTATATGCAGTTGTTTTCTTTCCATCATGAAGTAACTTCCCACCCCCTTCTCACTTCGAAGAGAAATGTGACTTAGCAAAGAAAACGGTTTTTTCACTTTCTCGAACAAATTTGTCTTACCTGCCAAACTATTGCTGAGAAATCCTTCCCACCGTTACTTGCCATTCGTACCTTTCTTTATAAATACCATCAACTGGCATTCCTAGTTAAAATATTTTCACCATTAAAAACCCCACAGAGTCGTGCAGTGAACCAAAATATACCCAAAAAAACACGCTGACCTTGAGAATGAAGTTTTGGGTTAATTTTGAGCAAAAATTTCGCGCCCTCAAGTGATGCTAACTCGACCGTCGAATGAAAACATTCATGCTCGTAATGAGTTCAAGGCAAACTTTTGCCTTTAGGGAATGTAAGGGAACGACATCACTTGGCAGAGTAGCAGGCGCAGGCGATGAAACACTGGAAAATGCGCGGATGCGCCTGGGGCGACACAAATGAGACAGTTGGGAACTGCAAAAGAAGCGTAGGGTACCATTTAACAGAGGGTGGCGGAAGGGTTGAATTTAATCAAGCTGAGGCATGAACACACTTTTCGTATGACCAGTTTGAAGGCTGGAGTAGCGGGATAACAATTTCATGTTAATCTGATGCGTGAGAAGGTCGTTTATCGAAGACTAACGGCTATGGTATATAAGGGGTACCTTAACGGCACCCTTACAGACGACGAGGCCTTCAATTTCTCCTCAAGGGGTTAGAGCCTGTTCGAAACCTGCTAATGGATTGAAAACACCGAGCTGCCTGTAGAATCTAGGGCATGGAATGTGCCGCTCCAATAAATCCCTCGGTAAGACACGGGAATAGGAACCCCCACAGTAATGCAGGCGGTTTTGTTCTAAATCCCAGGAAAGGCACCTATTCACTTGTCCTAACCCCAGTCCTAACAAAAACCTTAGCCCTAATCCTAATCTCCCCAGATCTAGCTCAAGGCCACTCGTATTACAGGGCGCCCTAACCCAATGTCATGACAATCTTTCGTTATGGGACGCAGTCTTATTCGCGTGGGCATCTTCCAGATAA